ACCTATTCTTCTATATCAAAACCTACCAAAGAAAATATATAATAACATAATGATTTATTACCAAAAACAAATACATGATTAAAATATAGTTCAAATATCCCACCATAGTCAGCACATTAATCCAACTCTAGCAAAAAAATTTACAAAAAAATGATAGAGACATGACTGATTAATCAATAGGGTGTTGAGCAAGTCTTCATAAACCTTGCACGCCTAAGTAACAGGCAGGCAGCATCCAATGCTTATTGGGATATTTCATCAAACATGTGTCGGGCAACGTTCAAAACTTCAAGAAGTTGGCACAACTCCTTAGGTGTAGATCCGTCATTGTTATAACTTATCAACAAAAAATAAACTATCAGCGTTTACATTACTGGTACAAACCTGAAGCTAAAAACCATTTAACTTACCAGCAGAAACCAAAAGGTTGAAGCAATAGAGAATCTGGATAAAGCCTGCACAATGTACTAGCCTCAAGCCGCCAGAAACAGAGAGTAAATTAGCAGAATAATATATGTTTAATGGATTAATTTCTATTTACTACCTTGAAGTTTCGTGGTTTTCAACATTTAGTGTTGGATATAAGTCAACAATCTGTGATAATTTATATATGCTAATAAATAATAAATGCAATAGGAATTAACAGAATATAAACTAGAATACGAATTATAAAAACAGACAACTTGAAGATCGAGGCTTGCGTACCGCAATGTCCTTGAAACAGAAATTTCGCCCCTACTCAGTGCTTGTAGTTCTACGGACGTCTGCTTCACCAGGATTCAACGATCTAAGTCAGAAATTCCAGCACCGGAAAATTGACTTCTGGCGAATTTTAATGTGGTTCTCTCAGAAAGGATGTTTATGATTGCAGGAGAAGATTTATGATTTTTCTGTATCTTAAATGCCATGCAGATGGATATATATATAATGTGATTATACCTGTTCGCAACAGGTATGAGGAAGGGATGCATCTGTTGGGAGACATCTGCTAAAAAGGGTGTTTTTGTTTCTGCGTTTTCACACTTCAGACTTCATCTGAAAAGATGAGTCTATTGGTAAAAATAATTAATTAATTAATTTAAATTCGAAATTAAAAATAATTAATTAATTCCAAAAATAATTAATTAATTAATTTAAATTCGAAATTAAAAATAATTAATTAATTCCAAAAATAATTAATTAATTTAATTAGGTAAAAATAATTAATTAATTAATTTAAATTCGAAATTAAAAATAATTAATTAATTCCGAAAATAAATAATTAATTTAATTATTAGAGCCCAAGAGCATCTTTTGACAATTAAATATATATTAAATATATATTAATTATATATTAATTATCAATTAATTAGTACACCCTAATTAATTATATATTAATTACCAATTAATTAGTACACCCCAAAGCCCAACCCCAAAGGTGAGCCCAATTTTAGTCTCCAGGCCTATTACTCCAATCACTTTCTATAAAGGACAAAGCCTTATAAAATGATAAAATCTTTTGGGAATGGCTAATGTGGGACAAAGAAATTTCTACTCAAACTACTCAAATTTCCAACATTTTGTACATGAAGTTTTTTTCATCCCAGAGTCATACCTCAAGTCTTTTTTTTGGGACAGTTTCATACATCCGTTAAGTTTTCTATCAGAACCTCTGTTAACTGATGACATGGCGCCCACTTGGATAATAACTGAACGCCACATGTCAATATGGGCCACGTGGAAATTAAAAAATATTTAAAATTTTAAATTTAAATTTAAAATACATAAAAAAAATACTAAAAAAAAACCTACCCGTCTCTTACCTTAAACCCTAAAAAAAACCTACCCGTCTTTTACCCCACCCCCCTCCCATCTCTCTCTGCAACCCGCAAGACCCTCCATTTTCACCTCTGCAAACTACACCAGCCTCCCTTCTCTCCTTTGCAAGCATAGTCTAGTCTCGCCTACAGCTTCTCCTCGTACACCTTCCGCTCGTTGGGGAAGAAGATCCTGTAGTTTCTCTCCGATGTGGGACCAAATTTCTTGTCCTCGTTGAATAGAGCGAAGAGGTAGACAGGTCAGATCTACTTTGGGCCTAAAGGGGGTCCCCCCGCCGGTTAATACCCGACAGATGAGGAACTTGGTGGTGTTGTGGGTGTCAACGAAAACCTCATTGTCGATGCAAATAGCTTCGATCTGGGTGTTGGGGTGGTAAGCGACGACGTTTCGCTGGACCCAGTTGGCAGCAAAAGACTGAGACTTGGCGGTGGAGGAGAACGGTCGACGGTGACCTTGATGTTGGATCCAGCTAGGGCCTGGAGCACGGCCGGGTCGAAGTCGAAGACCTTGACCCGCTCCAAGCCTTGGGACTTCAGAAGCTGGTGCGATTGGCAGAGATGAAAATGGAGGGTCTTCCCCTAACCCAGATCCCACCCTCCCTCTCTCTCATTCCTATTCGCACACTAAAGGTCGTGGGTTGAGGCTAGAATTTGTAGGAGGCTGAAGTGTGGATCTAGGAGTCGCGGGTCTGCAAAAGAGGTGCAGTTGTTGTTCGATTTTAAAATGGTGAGAAAGACGAGATGCTGAAGGTTGCGGGTTGGTAGTTGCAAGTGTTGGGATTGCGACGAAGCTGTGAGTTGCTCGAGGGTTTGTTTATTTGACTTTGCAGAATGAGGATTCTTGAGGACTGGGTTCCTCAAATTTCTTAACCATGTCGTGACCTTTGGGGGACTACAGAACCTCGAAGGAGAGACAACCATGTTTTGCAGTCATGGCTTCAACATTCTGGGTTATTTGATTTATTGCTACCGCTGTTGGGTTGTTGCTAAGACGTCGGCGCTGCAAGCTCGCCTGAGGGATCCCTCTGAAACTGTAGGCCATCCCCAACCCAGATCCCACCTTCTCTCTCTCTCATCCCTATCTACATTACGCGGCGCAGATCTGCCGAAACCCTAAGACTTCCAGTTCAAATCTTTGACTCTGAGCAAAGAAGAAACTGAGCTCAAAGCCATGGACTTTTTTTTTTTTTTTGTGTTTTTGTATTTTTTTTTAATATTGAAGTGGGCTCATATTGACACATGGCGCTCAGTTATTGTCCACGTGAGTGCCATGTCATTACTTAACAGAAGTTCTAACAGAAAACTTAATAGATGTATGAAACTGTCCCAAAATTAAGACTTGAGGTATGACTTTGGGATGAAAAAAACTTTATGTACCAAATGTTGAAAACCACGAAACTTCAGGTTAGTAAATAGAGATTAACCCATGTTTAATTATCTCACACAATAACAAGATAACATTGTGAAAACAAATGGGAGATCACAAAACTCAAACGTGGAAGAAAAAAAATCCAAAAACTGGTAACAAACCAGAAACTACTTCCTAAAAATGGGGTCACTTAAAAAGTAATATCCACCTAAAAGGACATATTCAAAATTCAGTAATTAGACCATTCTTGTAGATGTAACATCACACGTCGTCCAGGGAAGTGGATCCTCTAAACCTTATATGTATATTTTCATCTTTACCTAGCACGAGGTTTTTTGGAAGTTCACTGGCTTCAGGTTCCATCGGAACTCCGAAGTTAAGCGAGTCCGTGCGAAAGCAATCCCAAGATGGGTGACCCACTGGGAAGTTCTCGTGTGAGTTCCCATAAACAAAATCGTGAGGGCGTGGTCGGGGCCTAAAGTGGACAATATCGTGTTACGGCGGAGTCGAGCCCAGGATGTGGTAGGGGCCTGGGCCGGGATGCGACAATTTGGTATCAGAATCAATCACGAATAAAACAATGTGTTCATACACACAAGTGAGTAGGCAAATGATGGTATTAAATATAAAAGTTAGGTGATGAACCTACCAATCACGAATAAAACAATTTAATTTCAATATATTAAGAGGTATTCATCAATTCCCCCCTGAACTTGTGACTATTGGCCAATTTCCCCCCTCAACTTTAATTTTGGCCAATTTCCCCCCTCAACTCTCATAATTAGTCAATTTCCCCCCTCAACTTTAATTTGGCCAATTTCCCCCCTCAACTCTCATAATTAGTCAATTTGCACCCTACTATTAATTTTTTAATTTGATCATAATTAAACAAGTGTGTGTAAGAAACTAAATAAGATGTATGTTAATCATTTTCCTATGTCTTTATCCTATTACAAATAGATTAAAATTTAGAATTTTACAATTTATCATAGATAGTATTATTAGTCATAATAAATCAGTATGGAGTAATTTTATTTGATTTTTTACTATACAAAATTGATAACGAAAATGATTGACATTTTTGTATGTGAATACAATTTTCTTTATAAAAGTGAAAGCTAAGTTCAAGTAAATTGCGGAGAATCGAGGTTTAGTGCAAAAATGGCTAGTCAATTCATAATTTTCAACTCCTTATTAAGAATAACTCATTTTATTGAAATAGGTCTGATCCATGAGTTTAGGGTTATTATTTCTTCTTCTACATGCTTTAAACCCGATTCATAACTTTTTCTTATAATCAACCCATATCACATACTAATTATATTATGTTTTTGTACATTTTACCTATATTATGCAGGTGAGTTTATGTTAATTTTAGTACTTTGTTGGAAGTTATTAGAAAGATTGAAAGAAAAAAAAATAGATGGAAAATTAAAAAAAATTAACAATAGGGTGCAAATTGACTAATTATGAGAGTTGAGGGGAGAAATTGGCCAAAATTAAAGTTGAGAGGGGAAATTGGCCAATAGTCACAAGTTCAAGGGGGGAATTGATGAATACCTCTAATATTAAATATAAAAGTTGATCTTCAATATAGGGCATTCACACTCCTTTTACAATAAATAAAAAATTTAATTTCAATGATTGGCTCTAAACCATGAAAAATAAATAAATAAATAAACATGAAAACCACATGTCTACTTTCATAAATTGTAGTGGAAGAAATTAATTTCAAGTGAAAATTGAAGGGTCGCCACCACAAGAATCGTTTTCCATAAATAGTAATGAAACCAAAGAAAAAGAAAACACAAAAACTAAACTGTCATACACATCAACGTAACGTGTACGGAGTACCACCTGCCCACTACCTATATACGATGACTCGATTTTCTCCTCCCTCCCTCCCTCACCCCCTTTGTATTTTGCCTGTCTCCGAGGAAACCAGAAAAACAATGGCTTTCTGCAGGAGGAAGGACGGATGAGTATATGAGAAGAAGTGGGAATACAGTATGCGAACGCTTTGTGATGTGTGCGAGAGCGCCGCTGCCATCCTCTTCTGTGCCGCCGACGAGGCCGCCCTTTGCCGTTCCTGTGACGAAAAGGTTCTTCATTTCTTCTTTCCCTTTGCTTTTATTTATGCAAACATTGACTTTTAGTTATATGATCCTTCCAATGATTTTAGCACGAACATTTGCAAGTTTTTGGGAAATTGAATTTTGTGGGTCTGTTTTCTGATTGTTAGTCTTGATTTTGGTTATTGCAAGCTAATTCACTGGTGGTTTTTTTTTTTAGTACAAACAATACTCTACATTAAGGGGGAGCGGGGGGGGGGATTAAGCATGATTGCTTACTGCTTGAACTTGTTTGGCGAGTATACGAGGTTTTGTATCAAACTATGAGTACCCAGATGATGTGGAAGTCATACTATACAATTTGGAATTGTGAAAGTGAGATTGGTAAATTTAATCAACAGTTCACATTAGTGATGAATTTTGAGATGTTTGGTTAGAGAAGTGATTGGCGATGGGTTGCTATCTGAATGTAGCGTGGTTCGAAAATCATGCGTTATACACAAGTCTGACGTTTGCTTCGTAATTTTGAAGTCTTTCTGCCATTTATGTGTATGGAAATCATGACTACCGAAGATGTTTGAATTCTTAGTCTTTTCTTTGCTTTGCATAGCTCTCCTTTCAAATTGTAGTAGAAGCATGATTTTGTTCTTCTGTGTTGGAATTGCAGGTCCATCTGTGTAATAGACTTGCCAATAGACATGTACGGGTTGGGCTAGCCACACCCAGTGACATTCCTTGCTGTGATATTTGCGAAAATGCACCTGGTATGCTAGACTTCAATGTTTTAAACTTTTAGTTTTTGTGAGCTATGTTAAACTTATGTAGAAGAATTTTCAAGACTTATTTCCCTTGGAAAACATACATGTAGCGTTCTTTTACTGTGAGGTAGATGGTAGTTCTCTTTGCCTGCAGTGTGATATGATTGTACATGTCGGTGGGAAAAGAACCCATGGGAGGTATCTCCTCTTCAGGCAGAGAGTTGAGGTTTGTGTCTCTCTACTGGAGGGTTTGGGTTAAGGTTATGTATATAGGCCTCCAGGGCTTAATTTCTTTTCTCTCTTGGGGCGTTTCTCTATAGTTTCCAGGGAATAAGCTTGGCCGTTCAGAGGAACTAGGACTTCAACCACTTGACCAAAAGAAGGTACGAAGGGACGAAAATCAGCTGCCCGATGTAAAACCAAAAGAGAATGAACATAATCACAATATCTCTCCAACTGCAGTCCTAGAAAACAATATTGACGGTGACTACAAGATAGACAATACATTGATTGATCTTAATACCAGGCCCCAAAGAATACGCAGGCAAGCTTCAAAACCAGGTAAAAATATATTTCCTCATGTTGATTTTACTATCTGGTTGGGTTCTTTAATAAGGCATTCTTGTCTTCTTATTAACAAGGGATTCTTTGTCTTCTAAACGTGCAAATTATTGACATGCAGTTTGAAAGTTGTGAACTCTAGTTCTCTCCCTTTTATTCTTCTCAAAAAAAAATTATTTGTACATTATAAGCATTTTGAGTAATCAAAACAACATTTATCTTGCCTTCATATTTAGGAACAAGGTGTGGGTGTTCTATATGGCTTGAATGACGAATCTGTAAGTGTCGTTCCAGTTGGATCCTTCAAAAAATAGCCTGAAAAGTGAGAAAGGTACAATTTGCGTATCATATTATCCTCATCCATTTTTTTTATGTTTTCAAGATTTTCTTGTACGAAGTTAAATTGCTGCTTATAGCTCAGGAAAAATCTCTAGCATTGACTTTGATGTGTTTAAATTCAGAAATGAAAAGGATTGTTCAAATCAATGGTTTGCATGCACATGCTTATGTAAAATACATGGGAATCTGCATTGGATTTTTTCTTTCAAAATGCTAGAAAATGAGTGAAACTTTTCTCATATTGGGTCACTAACAAGGAGGGATATTTTGATACCAGTCCCAAAGAACGTATTTGGTTTTGAGCAACTTTAATTGCTAGCAGAAAACGATACAATTAAGGCTTACAAAGCCGCAATTTCTTCTTGGTAATCTATTTCTTTCCCCAAGAACTTGGATGGTAAGTTTGAACTGAGACGGATGGTTGACATTACAAAGAAATTGCACCTGTTGTGCATTTGTGGGAAGGGCATCTTCTCCCTCCACTTTGCTTATTAGCCTTACTATCTTTAAAGGTTTGCTAGAAATAAAGAGGTGGAGATTATATTGGCTTCCCATTATACTGTGTACTCGATCGAAGAAAAGATAAGTCGGGAGAAAGTTAATAACTCTGTTTATCAAATAACACATAGATGCTGATATTTTTCGGTTCTTGTTTTGAAATGGGTCGAGTGTAGATATAAACAACTTGTTTAAGATCCCCAACTATTTGTATTTCTGTTTTCTGTCTGATCACGTTTTTTATCTAATGAGATTATCTCTGTTCTTTGTCATCGTCGTCCAATAAATTTGCAAACCCTTCTCTTCCTCTACATTGTGGCTGCAGATGTTGTGGACAAACTACCGTTGCACAATCTTGGTTGACGACTTACGCACTTGTATTCTAATTTGTACCTTTCTTCTGTTTTCTTTGGATCAGCATCAGTCTGTCACGTTACTCATGCAAAGTAGATTAGATGAAAACTCTTTTGAGTTTGTATTATCACAAGCAATGTGTTTAGCTTGAAAGAGAGATAAGTGAGAGTCATTAGTACAGTTTGTTCAAAGTTAAGTTATCGAAGTACAATGCCGCTGTTGACATTCCTCTTACTTGCACTTCGATGACATTTTTATCAAATCTTAGAAAGGAAATGTGAACTAGTTTCAATTGAAGTTGAATGCTTCCCCAAAAACTCATGTGATTTGGCTTTTAAATGAGAACTTAATCAGGATTACTTATATAGTTTCTGTGTATGCACAAAGGCGATCCAAGGAGGGAGAAAACTTTTCCTATACCCGTTGCATGAAATGGGAGTCTAATGTTCTCTGCATCATGTGCTACTCATATAACCATGAATGTGGAACACCTGTTTCGTACAACATTTTCAAGAAACAGTAGTTGAAGACATCCCTGAGAAACGCATGGTGGGGATGTGTTAATGTAGTCTACTGATTCGAACTTGGTCATCTTGATAGATTTTGATGTAGTCTAATGATTCGAACCATGTTATCAGACTGAGAGAAATCACTGAAACATTTCCAAGTTTTTTCCAGACGAGCTATGTGCCGCGAAGGATCAAGCTGATGGATTTCTGAAAAATTATGCCTGAAAGTAGCAAAATTTTTGGGGTTCAGGTTAACTTATCAACCGAAGACGCAAACTTCAAGCATGAAAATATCCGATTGAATAACTACCGGCTAACTAACTCATCATCAAGAAGCTTATTAAGTTGCTAAAAAGCACATAAAATGTTCATCAACAAAAATAGTCTTTCATGGCTATAAAGCATTACACACATAAGAGATCCATGTCTCCTTCCTCCATTAACATCAACATCACCATCTGCTATTTGTTCTTCATCATCTACATCGTCGGTACAAATTACTTAGTACACGTAGCCCTTGACGAACAATTCCTTCTTTGCCTCCTCAGACTCTCCTTCTCCGGTGTACTTGCCAAGTTGTGCGAGTGAGTTGGCCTTGGCACGGATGAGCAGAGTATCCTGAGCTGCCTTCACGTTCTCGGGTCTGCCTCCCCATGTCTTCAAACAGGTGTTTTGGAGAGCTCTGGCATAGGAGAACGACACGTGCCATGGGTTTGGCGATTGGTTCATCGCATTCAAGTTCAGGGTTGCCTCGACCTCAGATTGTCCACCAGACAAAAACTGCGCAACAAACACAATTTCATCATCGGTACATGATATATTCTCATCACAAAAGAAAACAATTAGTATCAAGTTTTTCGAACACTTGCCATGATCCCGGGGACAGCTGGGGGGATTCTCCTGTGGAGGAGCTTGAGGGTGTAGTCCGCAACCTGTTGAGGGGTGGCTCTTTCCTTGGCCTCTGCACCAGGAGTAACCATACTTGGCTTGAGGAGGATACCCTCGAACAAGACATTGTTCTCGGCTAGGTAGAAGAAAACCTCGGCCCACACCTTCAAGGCGACTTCGAAAGTCCTTTCAATGGTGTGTTCACCATCAAGCAAGATCTCTGGCTCAACAATTGGGACCAAACCACTGTCCTAAAGAATCAAGAAGCAAGCACTTTCTCAATCAGAAACACATCCTAACTAGACACAAAACAAAACCCTGCAGTCTAAGTAGCAACTTAATAGCAATTAGTCAATCATATATGAAATCAACTTGCATAGCATATCAGTTCTCTTACTTGTGCAATGGAAGCGTAGCGAGCGAGACCCCATGCTGCTTCCTTTACTGCAAGAGCTGATGGGCCATTGGGGATGCTCACAACGGTACGCCTAGTTCATCAAGTTGGTAATTACGTTACATTTTACTGTCATCAATTTACCTTATGGAGCTAGAATTAGTTGCCAAAATAACATGGGGAATTCAGATTTGATCCGTACCATTTGGCGAAACGAGCTCCCTGCTGGTAGTAGGCAGCAGTGCGAGAGGCAAGACCATCAAGACCTTGGCACCAGGACTCATCGTTGGAACCAGTTAGGGGCACCAAACCCTGTTGTTATCATAATCAGAACATGCAGCTACCATAATTTATGTACTAATACTATGCTTACAGGAGAGTATGCGTGCAGCTTGCTTTGGTATGTAAATTTTTGCATTTCAGTCAGCTTACCTTGTCGACTTTAATCCCGGGGACGATGCCTTGCTCAATGAGAACATCAACGATCTTCTTTCCATCAACAGTGGATTGGTAGAGAGTTTCCTCAAAGAGAATGGCACCTGAAACGTACTGGCCAAGGCCAGGAGCAGACACAAGTAGGGTACGGTAGGCTTGGCGGTTGGCCTCAGTGTTCTCTAGCCCGATTGAGGCAAGACGCTTGCCGCAGGTTGCATTGGACTCATCCATGGCCAAGATTCCACGGCCTGGGGACGCAACAGTTTTCTATACCGACAACCAAAACCACACCTCATCAAATTCAAACCTCAATAGGCAAAGGTGCAAGTTAAAGATGAACTTTTATGACTAAACGGTTTAGCATGTTACGTTATCAGACTATCAACTTGTTCCACATGGTTCAAACAAAAATCAACCTTATCAGAGTAAGAAACATGTTCAATTACTATAACAAGATGGCAATTCAAGTAACATTTTCAGAGTTTCTCGCGTAAAAAATATAATTCGTATGCGGATATTTTCGAGAGAGCATAAGTAAATCGTTCAAGTCATATATGGTAACTAAAACGTTGTAAAACTTACAGCAGTCTTAACAAGCTCATCAGCATAGGAACCGGCACGAATGGTTAGACCGGTTGGGGCAGTGGGTAGGCATCTGACTACCGAGGAGGCGGAAGGCTGGCGGAGGGTCTGGCCCTTCACCCACTCAGATTTGTCGAGAATCGGAGAAGACTTGAGGAAAGATGCAGAAGCCATCGTTAGCTGTAAAGAGTAGCAGCCAAGTGAGAGAGAGCAAGTGTAAAATAATCTTATCTCCTCCGGCAAAGCTCTCTTGCTCTTTGCCACACATGCACTCGCTCTCTATATTTATAACTGTCTAGTGTAGAACAAAGATGTCCAATTTGAGGCTGGTGTGCTCCGACCAATCCCGGCGTGCCATGTGGATGATAACCTGCAGACTTGGCTGGCTGCGTACGTGGTTCAGACATGGGGTTTTTTTTTCTCACCTTGGAAAAAAAAGACAAATGCATGACGCTCACAATGCGAAGCGTCCAAAACAGACTTGTGTCAAGATATTCCTCTCCAAATGGGGAAGTAAATATGAGGTTGTTATGGTCTCTCCTGCTTTGTTTCCCCCTTTCTTACTGACTAATGGCTATGGTTTAACGTTAAGGTTCGACGAGACGGAAAACCACGTGGACGGTATATAGCATTACAGGTCAGCTTCTACGACCGTGCTGGTGTTTTTCCACACCACATAAACGACGGCGATAGGTTGTTTCTTGTTTCAATCTAATGGCTCTCACTAAGTAGCAGATTCATGGTTGAATACAATGCTGATGAGTGGTTTAGGCCCCTTGATGCTGATTTGCACGAACAGGAACCTTTCTACTTCCAAGCTCTTGCCTCCACAAAACCTTTCGGTACGATGTTGAACATAACATAAGGAGAGTTCAACAAATAAATGAGTCATGTGACATTGTGAAACAACAGCAAGTCGATTATTAACACCGCAACAAATAATGAAATTAAAGCAGAATTCTATCATTCTAATGTACAAGATGCTTAACTAGAGTTGAGATCCAAAGATAGATCTGCAAGCCCAAAAACTAGATCATCAACCGAATCTACTTTCATACTTTTCCATACATCAGAGTCATCAAAAGTTGATGGGACCGGTTGAGGCAAACTTTCTTCGAGGGCCTTGTTCAACTGCTTTACCAGGTCGTCGTCTTCCTCCACAGGAACATCCAAATCCCAAACCCTGAAAATATCCTTAGTTGAAGGCTCCATCTCAGATAACGAAGAGCTGATATCGGCTCCTAACTCGAGGTTTTCCGTCATTCTCGGGTCATCTTTGTATCCTGGCAAAAATGGATTTCCCGTAAAAGTTGATGACTGCAAATTATTCATATCCTCATCAGTTGGCATGTCGTCATCATCATCTTCATCACTTCTTTCTGCTTCTTCACCAATACTAAGAACAGCATTTCGGATTCTTCTTCGGAGTTGTTTTGTTTCTGCCCGCTCACGAGATGGAAGTATCACGATGTCAGTTCCCCTGGTTAAACCATCAGTTACAAGTGAAGAAGAGCTGAGTGATTCAGGCGGCTGAGAACCAAGGATTTCTTGTAAGGCACCTTTCAAAGAGTCCCAGTTGTCATCGAAAACATCAAATTCGTTAATCAGGCACGAATCAACCCAAGCATCATCCTCTGGAGAAAGTACCTCGCCTTTTTTAAAAGACTCTAGGGAATCCATGATAAGAGACTGAATAGTGCCTTCAATCACTTCATCTCCAACATCCATGGCTACAAATTTAAGGGAAACAGTAAGTAGAAGCAAGTACAAGCCATGCTTTTTGCAAATACAAAACAATTTATGCTGACATGTGATTGTGATTAAATTCTGTCAGTATACACGTTCAGTTAAATGTTCACAAACAAATTCCGTGTTCATTTTCCATTCTGACATGAAAACTTAGAGCAAAATAAAAAATCCCAAAAAAAAAAAATATGTAAACGCTCCTTGCACAAAAAACTGAATGACAAAAAAAAAGAAAAAACCTAGCTTCCAATCATTTCAGAGGAAGTCAGTACGTTGGTTAGACACCATTGGAGACAGCCTTTTCAAAACATACCCAAGAAACCTAACATGGCTTCATTCATGATATTCACATATTCATGTAATACCAAAAGAAAATACAAGCAATATAACAGACAATGAAGTTCATACTAATACAGGAACACAAGGGCAGCAGATTATGGAAACAACTAATTAACAACAAATACAATAGAATGGTAGCGAACTCGGGTGCTTTAACCACATCTGTGACTTCATCTGTTCTGTTTCTTTTATCTGAATCCATATTTGTTGTTGAGGGTTTCCTTTGAGTAAATTCGAGCTTCAATAAGGTATGGAGTTTCATACATTAGAAGCTAATTTCCTGAGAATTCAACCTTGGAGTAAACATTTTCCAACTAATCATTTACTATGTATAGCAATAATGTCTAACTGTAGCAGTGAAACACATTAATTATCCAAGTGATTAAACTCCATAATGTTCCAAAATTTCCTTTTATCTCATAAGTTTCACCTATAATGCTCTGTTTCGGAAGAAACCGGGATGAAGGTTTTTCAAACATATCAATGAAACCACTCACTCTTGTCAAAGCACCAAAGCAAAACATTCACAAATAGACAATCGATACACATGAAGATATTGCTATACATCATTTTCTGCTTTACATTTCACATTAAAAAGTAAATTTCCAGATATTTATGCACTTATTAAAATGAAATAAAATAGCAAAATTAAACATAAACCCTTAACCTAATCAGATAAAAAAAACCCTAAACCTTGGGAAGGGGACTCGCAGGAATGGGAGATGAATTAACGACGACAATGGAGTAAGCTTCAGGGCTTGAGGGCTTGAGGAGCTTACCTTGTGCCATTGAGAACCCTAATTTGGAGAAGCATTTATGGATTAGGGAGAAGAAAAAGACGAACACTTTGGAAGGAAGAAGACGACCCAAGAAACGAATAATGATTCACAATTTCATATGGTTTACGAGTCTATCGGATACGGTTTCACTCCCTGAAATTTCAAAAAGCAATTTGAATTTAAAAGATATATTTTTCGTCATATCTGTGTCTGAACTACATTATTACTAACTTAAATCTAAGTTCATCCATTTTTTTTAGTGTAGATAATATCGTTCATTAAAAAAAATATTTATTTATGTCATACTACATCCTAATGGTATTCATCTTCACTTATTACAAGTGAGAGGTCTTAGAGCAACTTCACCGTTGCTTATTGACTTGGGGATAGGCAACCCAATTCACTTCTTGCCATCCAAAAACACTCCAGCCCACTGGAGCAGTTGGGCTCAAGGCTTAAAGAAAGTCTCGTCCCAACCTGGGGTTTGCTTAAGAAGGAGAGTCTTGCCGTGTAGAAGTCAAGCAACAATCGCGTCCATCTCTACGATGGAATCCGACTCCCAAAATTTCACGTGGACCATTAATGACACGTGACGCCTAGTCATTGTCCACATGGGCATCACGTCATCAGTTAACGGAAGACTTAACAGCCAGACTAACAGATGTATGAGACTGTCTCAAAATTAACACTTTAGGTATGACTCAGGGATGAAAAAAACTTTACGTACTAAATGTTAAAAACCACGAAACTTGAGAATAGTAAACTGAGATTTACCCTTTTAATTTATATCTAAATTACCTATTGATAAAATTTTCTTTGTCAATTAAAAAGGAGAGGCCAATTTCATTGGTGCTAGCAGTGTCCTCAAAAACTTGTTGAGCATAGAGATTTCTGGTTTTGTGCTAATCTTGATTGAGGTGAGATTCTATGTGCTGAAGTTTGAAGTGTTTTTATTGGGTTGCAACTTGCATGGAATAATGGAATTAAAAAAAATTATGGTAGAATCATATCTTGCTCTTGTGGTTCAATTGATTTCAATTGCAAAAGTGGATAACCACCCTCTAGGAAGTTTAGTATTGAATTGTCGTGTCTTTATGCACCAAAGTTGGTCTTGTGAAATTCATCATATCTATCATGAAAAAAAAATTGTTACTGATGATTTGACTAGTTTGGGTTTGTCATGCAGTTTGGGTCCAGCATTTTTTGAGCAAGCTCCTCCTTCTTGTCATCGGTTATCAGTTGCAAATATAATTAGGTCTCGTAGCTTGTGATATTTTTATGTAATCTTGCTTTTCTTTTGGGCTTATGCCCCGTTGTCAACAAAAAAAAAGGAAGCAAAACCAAATTAACCCTGTCAACAAAACTAAAAGAAAAATAACTAAAATAAAAGTTTCAGGCTACATAGTAAATTAAATACAAAAAAGTTTTACTATTTTTTTTTTTCAAAACCTCATAGCTAGGTAGCCATATTAGCTGCTCTTGTTTTCTCTTTCATGTTTTTCTCATAATAAACCTTTAATGACAAAATAAGTAATTTGAAATAGTCGCTAAAGATATGAACAGCCTCTTTAGTAATACATGAGAAAGCTAAAAGAATTGAAATGATTTTTATACCCACATTGTACATTAAACACAATGAACTGAATAATTAAAGTGAATCTAATTCTTGTTTCCTGTAAGTATATGTGCCCTCATTAGAATTTATTAATGTTCTTAACACTCAATTATAAGAGCAATCCTACCGAATTGACCAAATCGGTTGATCGGTATAGTGGCTAGTTTCATTCAATTTTGACTAAAGAAAAAGTTAGGGGCTTTTACATCTAGGTCCAAAAATATAGATGGTTTTTAGGAGTGAGTCAAGTTATCTAATTATATGTTTTTATTTCTTTTATACTCATTTTATATTTTTTTTAAATATTAAAAATCAATTAAAATTTTCTAATATTAAGAATTTTTCAACTCTAAAAAATCTAATTAATATCTGATAACAAAAAAAAAACTAATATACTAACATAAATTATTTACAAAACATTCTTGACACACCCCGACCGAGATCGAGGCATACTGGCCGTCACGTGAAGGTGACGTAGCCATGTGCACAGTGCGGAAGCAAAAAGATAAGAAATATACGAATAAATAAAAACTGAAAGCTACTAATGTGCACTAATAAACAGGAAGTGCTCGGAGTGAGATACAAGTGTAAATACTCCTAATCAGAGCATAGAAGTTTAGGTGCAGTCCAGTAGGACAAGTACTAGTTATACAGTACCAAAAGATATCCTACGAATATTTTATTCTGTCAGAACCGCCGAGATCCTCAATGCCACCAACCGCAAGTCTACCTTAAACCTGGAGGGGCGCAAAATAGAAAATGTGAGTGGGCAAAAATAAATGCTTTTCAAAACCATTTCATCATTAAAATGCACTAACCCCTCGCCGTAAAACATGTATAAATTTTCCCATAAATAGAATATAAATATATACATATATATATATATATATATATATATATATATATTCAAATCATGCTTAACATATTCATAATCATAAGTATGCCATACCAAATATAAAACAAAATAAGTAACTCAGGTAAAAATAGATTTATGGAAAATAATATATTAGCCGGAACCCCTGCAGAAGTCTGTACGGCTGAATTCATAGCCCATTAGTCAATCTAGCCGGAGTCACTGCAAATGACCTATACGGCACTACACTGCACACGAGTCGGAACCACTGTAATGGTCTGTACGACAGGACTGGGTGTAATATAGTTATGCTCAGTGCTACACTCTCATGATAGCTATGCGATAAATTGCTAGTCACCTACGAGTTGGAACCACCTATAAGGGTATGTACGACAAGACTGTGCACCTAAATTGGATCCAATGTGAGCATAGAGTGCGGGAGGTGGCATTATAAACAGGCTTGTACTATATCTTTGGCTAAATTACAATCACCCGGGGTGCAGGTTTATGAACTCTATGCTTCTCAATTAATCACAACCGTTATTCACATTTACAAATCATAAACTCACTTGAGCTTACCTGAGCGTCCACAGCACCACAATATTATATATATGCAAACATCATATGCATATTCTAAATGTAAGACATTTGGCATGGCAATTAAAATCATAACTCGTTTAAATGCATTTTCTGGGAAAACATCAAGTATATAAGTATACACTGAAAACCAAAAGCCCACTCACTGGTATGTCGAAGGGTCGTAGCCCCCGAGCCGCTCTTGACTGCGCTCGTCCTCAGGATAAGTCTCCCCTATATGCGAAACAACTATAAAAACGTTATTTAAAGCACATAACTAATACTAGCTAATAACTTCTGATACATTGCTCAAATGGGATGTTTGAATATACTAACGTGATTTACACAACCTCACGAGCATCCCCATATTTTAAAAATAATTTTTGGAGCCTTCACGCGCCGGCAAGGGCATGGCCTTATGCGCGGCCACGCGCAGGGACCCTAACAGAATCCCTTAACCCCATTAGGAATATTTCGTTAAATAGTAATGGAATCCGTTAAACTAACCAACACCGTTAGCAATATTCCGTCATCTCCTCCCTACCTTCGAACTTTGGTGATCGTCGCCGTCGCCGGAAATTGCAAAATTTTCAAACCTTAATTTCTCGTCCGATTCTCAACCAAATTTCATGAATTATATACCAAAATGAAGCTTAAGACAAGTAGAACAAACCCTTACTAATTTTAGGACCTAAAATTCACGGGATCTCACCGGAAAAATCCACGATAATCCGGCCAAACTTAAAACTCGCAAATCTCAGGTTCCCGACGTCCAATTTATTGGTTTTTGTCCTTCGAGCTTCGTAGGAAAGTCCTAAAGCTTCCTACGAGCTTAAAATTCCCTAAAACATCCATAATAACGACCATGTGAACAGTACTCAAATCGGGGGTGATGGTTTCTCGAGTTTTTGAGGGTTTCACGATTTAAAAATGGCATATATGAACTCATGGACTTGCAAGGAGTTCGAATCTTACCTTCTTGACGTTGATCCGTGCGTGAAATGTGAGTTTGGCGTTCGTCCGTACAAAGTTGACGGAAACAGAAGAAAATCGAGAGGGAGGAGAGAGAGAGAGTGCACGGGAAGGAGAGAGAGATAGAGAGTTGGAGTGTGTATGTGGTCCAAAATTGTCCACTCCAACCAAGCAAAACAACAAAACAACTTAATTCCAATTAGTTCCACATACTTAGGAAAATAACTTGGACCTAAACCTAAGTCATGTACGTAGACCACTACCCACGTTTAAGGATGCACACCACTACCCACGTTTAAGGGTAAAGCCGTCCTTTCACATCATCGATAAAATTATCCCAGGACGGGCTGTGATAATTCTACCTTAACTCAAGCAACAAATATAAGAATGTATATTATACATATAAGCAAGATATGAAACCTAACTAAAAAGTAAGAAAAAAACATAATATACCTACAAGCAAGACACATTAATTTGTGACACGTTGATTATAAAAAAAATTGTCATATAGATACATAAAAATAATTAACCTGTGATATAGGTTGATTATAAAAATTAAAAATAAAATATATAAATGAGGTTTAAAGTGGGAGGAAGAACAAGAAATAACAAAATAAATAAATAAAAAGAAATAATCAATGAGATAATTAGGAAGAAATTTAATTTTTATAATAAATCTTATTATTTAATAGATAATTATTGATAATAAAATAATTAAATTTAAAGAATTGGACTTATTTTAATAAATTGGACTATTCTTACTATTGGATAAAAAAATGGTACTTATATCAAGTTTCTCCAAAAAGTTAAAGGGTCCAAAAATTGAATTGAATCGTAATGAATTGGTTTGTTTACAGTTTAGAGCTTTTGTAAGCCGGCCGAATTGCACCGCCACATACATATTGGTTTTTTTTTTCTTTTCTTTTGTAAGAGGGTAAGTTTACTCTTGCTTCTCCTGGTTTTACGGAGATGTGTGATTTTGTGTGGGTCTGTGACAACTTTACTTGGTTGAAGTGTTTGTTGGTTGTATCCCCTTTCATTGCCTTGTTCTTGGTTGGTCTATCATGGTGTATGCCTCGTGGTAGGCTTTCTGGTTCCTGTTTGGCTTCTTAGCTTTGGAATGTGAATTCCTAGCTTTCAAAAAAAAAAAAA